TATACTGTAGTTTAATAGCAAATAATGAACAAACAAAACACTCACCACACTGAGTGGTGGGAGGGCTGGCTGCCAGTTGTGGGGGTCGGAGGGAGGGTAGTAGGGACTCGTCAGTGGTGGAGGCAGTGGTGGAGGCAGTGGTATTTAATAACATACATGTTGTTAAACCATAACATGTATGTATTTAGTACGATTTACGATGTTTTCATGTATTTTATGATTGTTTATGGTTCAACAAGTTAAGGAAGCAGTATTGTATTATATTTCCCTACAATATTTTGGGGCACCAAACATTCACGATTTTTCAACATTCGCAAGGCTCTTGATCCCCTAACCCTCGCGAATGTTGAGGGAGACCTGTATATATTTTTTAGGCCTAGCTCTATTGCTCACTTAATATATGATAGTGTAAACATGTTATCAGACTTTTATGTGCATTTGAAAGTGAAAAAAATTGTTTGTTTCACTTTACAGCAGTAACCTGGAACCTGCTGTATAAGCGGGGCCCTCCTGTACAGGCATGCCTCGTTAATACAGCGCTCGTTTTAGGGCATTTTGCTTTTCAATTATATTCATATTTGTTATTCTCAGTGCTTGCCTGGCTCTTAAGATGGTTTTTGGCTATTTTTAATTTTTTTACTTACTATTTTTCCTTTCGCATCTTTTTTTTTAGACCTAGCACTATTGCGCACTCAATAAATAATAGTGTAAACATCATTTAAGCTTCTACGTATATGTTGTTAGGTAAGACACATATGCAACAGTTAGGTATCTTTATTTCGAAAATAAAGATACCTAACTGTTGCATATGGTCTTACCTAACAACCTGTCGGTATTTTATACCATTTTAATGTTCATTCTACGTATGTGCACTGGCAAGCAGATAAATGGCTGCGATTGGCTTTAAGGCAATTTTGGCTTTACAGCGGCAGTCTGGGACCTAACTCACCTTATTAGCAAGGGGTGTCTGTATTCTTGTCTGTATATCTGTATTCTTGTCTGTATATCTGTATTCTTGTCTGTATATCTGTATTCTTGTCTGTATATCTGTATTCTTGTCTGTATATCTGTATTCTTGTCTGTATATCTGTATTCTTGTCTGTATATCTGTATTCTTGTCTGCATTTTCACACACTAATTATGGGTAGGCTTTTATTACAAGGGATTTCAGGCAAGTAAGTTTATTTAGGTACAGGTACACGTAAATACAGTTGCACAAATTATCATACTTAGTAATGTGTGTGTAAATTACCCACCAGGATAACCCAAAAAGAAAAGCTGACAAAGTGATTGATTTCCATTGGGGTCCTTGACTTATTTCTGTTGTGGTCCTCATCTTATTTCCATTGGGGTCCTATTTCTATTGTGGTCCTTAACTTATTTCCATTGGAGCCCTTGACTTATGTCTGTTGTGGTGCTTGACTTATTTCCATTGGAGTCAGGTAGCCTTCCTATAGAGCAAATTTAATTTCCTCTCATTGATGATACAGTAGAACCCCCATATCCATGGATTCATTTTCTGCTGTTTCAATTATCCGTGGCCCAAAAATGAACCTTAATTTCTGATTAAAGACCACAGAGCACAAAAGTTGTGATGGTGACAATTTTTCAGAACCTAAGACAAGGCATGAATTGCAACCCACCAGTGAAAAAGTGCAAATTTTCAACTCATTGTACGTAATTTATCAAACTTTATCATAGGTATGTACCGTATTTTCGTGGCTAATTATACGCAGTTTTTTTTTTTTCATAAATTGTCTCCAAAAACCACCGTGCGTCCTATAAGCTGAAGGTCAGTGACGGGAACTATAAGTGTGGGGTGAGGGGGTGTACCTCTCTGTTACATCTGATGCCAAACCATTAAAACTAAAACGAGTCTTATAAGCTGCAAAATACGGTATGTAAATGAAAAACATACATAGTGTTCACTACTATCTGCATTTATGGGCACCTGGGTAGGGCTTGGAACATATCCCCTGCAGATACAGGGTGACTACTATCCCCTGTGGATGCAGAGCGACTATTATCCCTTACGGATACAGGGTGACTGCTATCCCCTGTGGATACAGGGCGACTATTATCCCCTGTGAATACAGGGTGACTATTATTCCTTGCGGATGCAGGGCAACTACTATCCCCTGGGGATACAGGGCAACTACTATCCCCTGAGGATACAGAGTGACTACTATCTCTTGTGGATACAGGGTGACTACTATCCCCTGCGCATTCAGGGCAACTACTGTCCCCTGCGGATATAGGGCGACTACTATATCCTGCAGATATAGGGTGACTACTATCCCCTGCGGATGCAGAGTGACTACTATCTCCTGCGGATGCAGGGTGACTACTATCCCTGCGGATACAGGGCGACTGCTATATCCTGCAGATATAGGGTAACTACTATCCCCTGCAGATACAGGGTGACTACTATCCTCTGCGGATACAGGGCGACTACTATCCCCTATGGATACAGGGCGACTATTATCCCCTGCGAATACAGGGTGACTATTATTCCTTGCAGATGCAGGGCAACTACTATCCCCTGCGGATACAGGGTGACTGCTATCCCCTGCGGATACAGGGCGACTGCTATCCCCTGTGGATACAGGGCGACTACTATCCCCTGCAGATACAGGGCGACTACTATCCCCTGTGGATACAGGGCAACTATTATCCCCTGCTGATGCAGGGCGACTACTATCCCCTGAGGATACAGGGTAACTACGTACTATCCCCTGCGGATACAGGGCGGCTACTATCTCCTGCGGATATAGGGTGGCTACTATCCCCTGCGGATACATGGTGACTACTATCTCCTGCGGATATAGGGTGACTACTATCTCCTGCGGATACATGGTGACTACTATCTCCTGCTGATATAGGGTGACTACTGTCTCCTGCGGATACAGGGCGACTACTATCTCCTGCGGATATAGGGTGACTACTATCTCCTGCGGATACATGGTGACTACTATCTCCTGCGGATATAGGGTGACTACTATCTCCTGCGGATACATGGTGACTACTATCTCCTGCGGATATAGGGTGACTACTATCTCCTGCTGATACAGGGTGACTACTATCTCCTGCTGATACAGGGTGACTACTATCTCCTGCTGATATAGGGTGACTACTATCTCCTGCTGATACAGGGTGACTACTATCTCCTGCTGATATAGGGTGACTACTATCTCCTGCGGATACAGGGTGACTACTATCTCCTGCGGATATAGGGTGAATACTATCTCCTGCGGATACAGGGTGACTACTATCTCCTGCTGATATAGGGTGACTACTATCTCCTGCTGATACAGGGTGACTACTATCTCCTGCTGATACAGGGTGACTACTATCTCCTGCTGATACATGGTGACTACTATCTCCTGCTGATACAGGGTGACTACTATCTCCTGCTGATACAGGGTGACTACTATCTCCTGCTGATACAGGGTGACTACTATCTCCTGCTGATACAGGGTGACTACTATCTCCTGCTGATACATGGTGACTACTATCTCCTGCTGATACAGGGTGACTACTATCTCCTGCTGATACAGGGTGACTACTATCTCCTGCTGATACAGGGTGACTACTATCTCCTGCTGATACATGGTGACTACTATCTCCTGCTGATACAGGGTGACTACTATCTCCTGCTGATACAGGGTGACTACTATCTCCTGCTGATACATGGTGACTACTATCTCCTGCTGATACAGGGTGACTACTATCTCCTGCTGATACAGGGTGACTACTATCTCCTGCTGATACAGGGTGACTACTATCTCCTGCTGATACATGGTGACTACTATCTCCTGCTGATACAGGGTGACTACTATCTCGTGCTGATACAGGGTGACTACTATCTCCTGCTGATACAGGGTGACTACTATCTCCTGCTGATACAGGGTGACTACTATCTCCTGCTGATACATGGTGACTACTATCTCCTGCTGATACAGGGTGACTACTATCTCCTGCTGATACAGGGTGACTACTATCTCCTGCTGATACATGGTGACTACTATCTCCTGCTGATACAGGGTGACTACTATCTCCTGCTGATACAGGGTGACTACTATCTTCTGCTGATACAGGGTGACTACTATCTCCTGCTGATACATGGTGACTACTATCTCCTGCTGATACAGGGTGACTACTATCTCCTGCTGATACAGGGTGACTACTATCTCCTGCTGATACATGGTGACTACTATCTCCTGCTGATACAGGGTGACTACTATCTCCTGCTGATACAGGGTGACTACTATCTCCTGCTGATACAGGGTGACTACTATCTCCTGCTGATACATGGTGACTACTATCTCCTGCTGATACAGGGTGACTACTATCTCCTGCTGATACAGGGTGACTACTATCCCCTGCTGATACATGGTGACTACTATCTCCTGCTGATACAGGGTGACTACTATCTCCTGCTGATACATGGTGACTACTATCTCCTGCTGATACAGGGTGACTACTATCTCCTGCTGATACAGGGTGACTACTATCTCCTGCTGATACAGGGTGACTACTATCTCCTGCTGATACATGGTGACTACTATCTCCTGCTGATACAGGGTGACTACTATCTCCTGCTGATACAGGGTGACTACTATGATCTGTCTTACTGACTCTGGTTTTACCACTTGCTATATGTATAGTAATTTTGATCTGTCTTACTGACTCTGGTTTTACCACTTGCTATATGTATAGTAATTTTGAGTATGTACTTAATGTGTGTGCTATGGATTTTCCCCCAGAATTATGTGTGTATGAAGGAGTTTTATAAGGAAGCTGATGTATATTGAGTTTTGCAAGAGCTGGCTGCATTTAGATGAGCTCTTAGAGCTGACCCTGTGTACAGGAGCTTTATAAGAGGACTGATTATATATAGAGGAGCTTTATAAGAGGACTGACTGTATATACAGGAGCTTTATAAAAGAGCTGACTGTAGAATGTCTTGACGACAGAATCTGATTGATTTTTTCCAACAGGAAGTAAATCATCGCTGAGTCTGCCACCAGTAGTGGCGGACTATGAGGACCACTTTGCCATTGATGTGGTGATGGGCGTGGAGGGCGGAGTGAGCGAAGGAGGGTGGAGGGCAGCCGCCTGCACTCCGCACACCTCCACACCTCCATTCCCCGTCAGGCTGCCCAAGTTTACTGCCTCCTCCAGCGCCAAGAATGTCTTCTTCCTGGAGACCACCTGTGCTTCTGCTCTCAATGCTAAGATGGTGAGTGCCATTTGTCTGCTGTTTTCTTCTCTTCCTCCTCCTCCTCTGAGGGCGGACAGCTTTCTTGTCCGTTAACCCTTAAACTGTCCAAACGTAGCTCTACGTTCACGTGCATAGCACTCTGAACATAGATCTACATTTTTTACATTTGAAAATGTGGATCTACGTTCGGAGCGCTATGCTTGTGAATGTAGATCTACGTTTGGACAGTTTAAGAGTTAAGCATTAAGAAACTGTACCATGGGTGGGGATAGAACCCACGATCAGAAAGTCTCGAAACTCCAGACCGTGGCTAACACGATGGTCTGGAGTTTTGAGACTGATCGCGGGTTCTATCCCCGCCCATGGTATGATTTGTTTGCAATCGTGTCATTACGATTTCATGAGTCAAGTTAAGCATTAAGTTTAGTCTGCCCAAAATGCCCAAGCATGATAGCGATTTTCTTTGTACTTAGCAAATCAAAATTGTAATTACACATTGTAAACTATGCAAAGAAGTACAATCCTTAATCCTTATTAAGTTCCTCTATATAGTACAATTTTTTACAAATGTGATTGATAAACGTATATCCAAAATTATCTGGTATGTGGAAAGACCTTTGTAAGTGACTGAGAAAGTTGTGAAGTGTAGATTATAACATTATTACTATTATTATTACAGCCTCTCCTCACTTAACGACGTACTCATTTACCGATGACTGATTTGCAACGGGCTCTCTGACCAGTATTCATACCTAAATAATGTATATCAGAGCTGATTTCCTCTATTCTGTTTAATACAATATACAGTACACTACTGTATAAACATTTAAAAATATACTGACAGTGTTATATTGTGTATTGTTCCAGTCATGATATTGTGCCGTTTTGGTATTTAATATCAAAGATGGTTGACACAAACCATTGTAGTATGCTCCTTGCTTAGCAATGAATTCGTTTACCGATGTTATCTTAGGAACGGAACTCTGTCGTTAACCCTTTCACTGTCGATACCCCTCCTCACAAGTATTTCTTATGAAATGATAGAGAATCTTTTCCCGATGGTAATGAACCCAAAAGTACGAAATTTGATGGAAAACTTATGGAATTACACTCTCGTGAAGTTAGCGGTCTTGGCGATATTGACACATTGGTGATGTTGCCCACTTTGAGCAATATTTTCAGCCAGTTCCATTGTTCCAGTTGAACAAACTCATAGCTATTTCACTAGAACTCCATTTGTTCTATCGATTAAGTACAAGACATTGCCCATTTTCCCGATTTCAGTTACCCAATAAAGTGATCAGAAATTGGTAATTTGGCCAATTTCATACACAATTCAAAGATGGCCAATTTCAAAATAGGGTCCAGAATAAACAATGCAGACATTCCTGGCTCTAAAATAACATTTTCTCTGTTCATTAGTCATGTCCTCCAGGACTCTCTTATATTACTCTTGCTTTCCATTTTGAATTTTTATTCACACAAAAAATGAAAGATTTACTGTTATGCAGACTACTGCATTATTGTAAAAATGGTATAAATAATATCAGTGCATTTTTGAAAGCATATTAGACTCCCCAGTTGACGTGTATTGGACATGTGACGTGATTTGTTTACTCTTGAACATCGGCAAAAATCGAACATTTCCACTACTTTGAGCTCAATTTCGAGGTATGTACTTTTATTGCATAAACCATTCAAAATCATCTCTAGTTGTGTAATATATCTTCCATTCCATCAAATGAGACCAAGAAAGTGAGAATATAACTATGAATACCACACAAAAATACACCACGAAGTCGCTGTTTTAAACTGAAAACACGGTCAGATTTTTTTTTCTAATGCACTTCAGGATTTTTTTTATACTACACACACACACTGACCACTCAGACCCATTCTCTCATATGTCAGCCTTCCAGCTTTCTCCTGCAGGTATGGAAGCCACTAGAATTTTGGTGTACTGTTACAGGACCAACACTGTAATGTTATGGCTTGCATCTCACCGAGGCAGGATGGCCAAAAAAAAAGCCAAAGTTTCTCTTCTTAAATTCAGTAACACATACAGGAGAAGGAGTTACTAATCCCTTGCTCCCGGCATTTTAATCTCCATTATTAACATAATTACCATTATTAACATTACTGTTATTATTATTACTGTTATTAACAGTATCACTATTATTATTAACAATATCACTACTGTTATCAACAATATCAATAGTGTTACTATCAATATCACTACTACTAAGTCTGATAATGAAAAACTACTGAAATAAAAGTATGTTACTATACATGTATATTAGTAGCAGAGAGTTTTATAAATTAACTATATAGCACGTCAAACAATGCTTCGTTACAACCCTGTGGTTTCCAGACCACATGTACATACATTCATCAGTGCTTATTTGTATACATTTATTGACTTTAAATACATGTAATGTATATTGTCCTTGTAGTCTTAACCCGTAAACGGTCCAAACGTATATATACGTTTTTTCAACATTTGAAAGTACGTAAAAAAAGTAGATCTTTTTTTTTTTTTTTTTTTTTGTTACATTTGAAAATATGTAAAAAAAACGTAGATCTACTTTTGTAGCGCTACACATGTGAACGTAGATCTGCTTGGACCGTTTATGGGTTAAGTTAGGCCTAAGTTTGCCCAGAATGCTGTGCATAACCATGGGCTTAATGAATGTATACGAGTGTCACCCGTCCCTGTGTAAACATTGCATTGTGTGGAGATATACAGTGGTACCTCGAATTTCGGCCATAATTCGTTCCAGAGGCTGTTCCAGTGCCGTTACCAAACAAATTTGTTCCCATAAGGAATAATGTAAATTAGATTAGTCCATTTCAGACCCCAAAAATGTACTTACAAAAGCACTTACAAAAATACACTTACATAATTATTTGAGTGGAGCTGTTCGAAATTCAAGGTACCACTGTACTTTGACTTAGATCTGTGTTGCAGTGATCCCGGTTCTCTTAATTAAGAGAGTGTAGGGGAGAGAGAGAGTGTAGGAGAGAGAGAGAGTGTAGGGGAGAGAGAGAGTGTAGGGAAGAGAGAGTAAGTGAGAGTCTAAGAGAGTGAGGGTGTAGGAGAGAGAGTGTAAAAGAGTGAAAGTATAGGAGGGAGCAGTGGTGGCTTGTAGCGCCAGTAATACCTGTATTATCGTACCACATCAAACTTCTATTTTTAATAATTTTTTATCTCATTTCAACAAAAAATATAACTCCGCTTATAAATACATTGAAAACTACATACAACAGATTTTTCCTGTAATGTATTTGTCAGTTGCAAATTATTTTAGCATAAGGTTGATGAAGTCATACATCTGGCAATGAGCATCTGGGGGGACTGCAGCTCTGCAGCTCCTCTGGACGAGCCACCACTGAGAGGGAGTGTAGAAGAGAGTGTGAGTGTAGGAGAGAGTGTAAGAGAGAGAGAGAGAGAGAGAGAGAGAGAGAGAAAGAAAGAGAGAGAGAGAATTTGTCTCTGCTTTGTCAGTTCCCTTAGGATTTTGTATGTAGTAATCATATGCCCTCCTTGTTCTCATAAGCACAGGTTTTCAGAAACCTAACATGCGCATTACAGGGTTTCTGCAGTAATAATAATAATAATAATAATGGTAGGTTTGGGATATTTGCTGTTTAGAGTGACATCTAAACTGTCATATCTACACACCTCTGGCAAGACAGTGATAGTTTGAATGATGGCAAAAGTGTTTCTTTTTTGGGTCACAAAGGGAGAAGGCCAACGTGTTAAAATAATAATTAATATTAGTCGGCCTGAAATGCTCAGGCATACTAGTGGCTTTCTTTGTGCTCGACAATGTTTTGTTACACACAAACTATACATTGTAAACTATGCAAAGAAATCAATTTTTGTATTTTGAATTTGAATGGTGTTTTGTTAGGCTTGTGCGGTGGAGAGTGCGGCGCTGCATCATCCAGACCACCAGGTCCATCTAGCACTAACATCCACCCACGTGGGCGGTACAGATGCTATCATCCACGCCCTTGCTGCCCACAACAATGTTCATATCTCTGCGTTGGATGTCGACGATGTACTGGAGGGCACCGGGCGCCTGGGCACCTGGCTTCGAGGGATGGAATGGGCCAGGAGTGGTGAGTTGAGTGGTGCGAGTGGTTCTTGAAGAAATCCCGCTTAACTGAAGATCACTGAATCAGTTTGAAGTATTAATACGTAAAATTGTACCGTTGTACATTTAGCTACCTCATTATTGTACATTGGAAAACCCCCTACTTAATAACCTTTGTCTGGTTCTTATGTCGTGTGTAAGTATTAGTCTGCCAGAAATGCACTGCATGCTAGTGACTTTGTACTTAACCCTTTGACTGTCGCAAACTCCTTTCTGAAACTGTCATTCTATGTCACAAAAGTTTTGGAAAAAAAAAATGATTTTTTCTTATGAAATGGTAGAGAATCTTTTCCCGATGGTAATGACACCAAAAGTACGAAATTTAGTTGAAAACTCACGGAATTACGCTCCCACGAAGTTAGCAGTCTCGGCGACATATACGCATCGGCAATTTCGCCGACTTTGAGCCCTGTTTTTGGCCAATTCTGTTGTTCCAGTTCACCAAACTCATAGCTGTTTTTTTAGAACTCCATTTTTTCTATCAGTTGAGTACAAGAAACCGCCCATTTACCAATTTGAACTACCCAATAAAGTGGTCAGAAATTGGCAATTTGGCCAGTTTCACGCAAATTAAAAAAAATGCCAATTTCAAAATAGGGTCCAGAATAAACAATGTAGACATTCTTGGCACTAAAATAACATATCTTCTGTTCATTAGTCACGTCTCTAGGCCCCTCTTATATTACTATTGCTTTCTATTTTGATTTTTTATTCATACAAAAAAATACAAGATTTACTGTTATGCAGACTATTGGATTATTGTAAAAATGGTATAAATAATATCAGTGCACTAGTGAAAGAATATTAGACTCCCCAGTTGACATGTATTGGACGTGTGGTGTGATTTGCTTACTCTTGAACATTGGTAAAAATCAAACATTTCCGCTAATTTGAGCTCAATTTCAAGGTCATTTTCATCGTGAAAGTAATGAAAATCATCTCTATTTCTGTAATATGTTTTCCATTTTATCACCTGAGACCATGAAAATGTGAATACAACGATAAATACTATACGAAAATACACCTCAAAGTCGGCGTTTTAATCCAAAAAAACGGTCAGTTTTTTTTTTCTCATTATGCACTGCATGCTGCAGGATTTTTTTTATGTGGTGCACACTGACCACACAGACCCATTCTCTCACATGTGGGCCTACCAGCTTTCTCCTGTTTGATTTGAAGCCTCTAGAATTTACACGTATAAATACGTCAGAAACAGTGGCGCGTAAGACGTATACATGTATATACGACGTAAACAGTCAAAGGGTTAACAATATTTTATTACACGTAAACTTTATGACATATACAGTAAGTCCTTGTCTTACGTTCAGAATCTTATGTATTGTGTATAAGATAAGACTTCCTGTACAGTCATGCATCGCTTAATGACAGGGACTATTATTATTATAATCAAGGGGGAAGCGCTAAACCCATAGGATTATACAGCGCTTATGGGAGGGGGTGGGGAGATGGAAGGTATTCAGGCTTAATTCAGGGAACTGAAGCACTGATCCAATTCCCTAGATCAAGAGCCCCTCACTAGCGTCAAGGAACCTTCCTTGTGGGGAAACGACAGGAATACGTTCTGAGAAATGCGTCATGGCAATTTCGTGCTTGTGCGAATGTCAGAGTGTACTTACACAAACCTAGATGGTACAGCCTACTACACACACAGGCTGTATGCTTTTTTTTTTTATCACAGATTTGCATGTTAGCAGCTAATGCACGAGATTAAATCAAGCACAAGGGAAAATTATGCATACTGTTTTACAGTAAACTTTATTTTTTTATGAGTAGAAATACAGTACAGTGGTCCCTCAATAATCGTCCGGCCTGAAAGTCGTCCATTTCGGAAATAGTCCCGTTATTTCGTCTAAACATTGGCTCGCAAATGGTCCGTTAACTCGCTAATCGTCCTTCGTCCGGGACGCGTACTCACGCTCTGAGCCGCCTGGCCTGCCTTCCCAGCCAGTGTGCCATTGTTTACCAGTGAGCGACGGTCCCCTCACATGCTCCTACGAAATATTTCATAATATTCCATTGATTTTAGTGCTTGCAAGTGCTAAATAAGCTACCATGGCTCTATACAGTTCAGGACATTTATTAAAGGAAACGTTTCACCACGAGTGGCTTCTTCAGTCCTAATACAGACAAAACTAAGAAAACGCATATACAGTGGTCCCTCGTTTTTCGTAGTTTTCGGGAATCATAGATTTCGGAAATCATAGGGATATTTTCGTATAAACATGGGCTCGCTAATCATAGGTTGACTCGCGAATAGTAGTTCGTCCGAGATGTGTACACACGGTGTGAGCCGGGGCGGCCTCCCTACCCAGCCAGTCTGGCATTGTTTACCAGTGAGCGAAGGTCCCCTCACATGCTCTTACGAAATATTTCATAATATTCCACTCATTTTAGTGCTTGCAAGTACTAAATAAGCTACCATGGCTCCAAAGAAAGCTTCTAGTGCCAAGCCTGTGGTAAAGAAGGTGAGAAATACAATTGAACACTTCAGCATCCTCCATTGCATAACCCTTATAGGTATGGCTTGGGAGGGAGTGACTACCAGGACTTCGAACTCTGCTTGGAGAAAATTGTGGCCAGATTGTGTCGACAAGAGGGATTTTGAAGGGTTTGAGACTGACCCTGATGAGCCTATGTCTGTTGTTAAATCAATTGTGGCACTGGGGAGTTCCATGGGGTTGGATGTGAGTTTGGAGGATGTGGAAGAGTTGGTGGAAGACCACAACGAAGAGCTCACCACTGAGGAGCTGCAAGAGCTTCAGCAGGAACAGCAACAGATCGCAGCTCAGAATCTTGCTGCAGAGGAGGAGGAAGAGAGATGGAAGAAGGTGCCACCTTCAGAAATTAAAGATATTTTTGCTATGTGGGGTAAGATGGAAAGCTTTATGGAGAAACATTACCCTGACAAGGTTGTTGCAAGCCATGTTGGCAGTATGTACAGTGGCAAAGTCTTGGGCCATTTTAGGGAAGTGTTAAAGAGACGCCAGAAACAGAGCTCTCTCCACAGTTATTTTGTGAGACAGGACTCCAGTGACTCAAGGTGGTCCTAGTGGCATTAAGAAACAGAGAAGAGAAGCAACCCTAGAAAAGCAATTGGTACCTGAGGTGTTGATGGAAGGGGATTCCCCTTCCAAACTGTAAACAATCCACTCTCTGTCCTCCTCCAGTCTCCCATACACTAAGAAGAATCTCCAATAAAGGTAAGTGTTATGCTGTTAATGTTTCATTCATTATTTCCCATTGTATTGTTTATGTACTACATCTATATTTCATGTAAAAAATGTTTTTGTTTTAATACTTCTGGGTGTCAGGAACAGGTTAATTATATTTAAATTATTTCTTATGGGGAAAATTGATTCGAATATCGTAGATTTCGATAATAGTAGCAACTCCAGGAATGGATTAACTACGAAAAACGAGGGACCACTGTATATAGTGGCATGAGTCAGGTGAAGTGACACTTGGGTAGAGGTGGTAGTAGTAGTAGTAGTAGTAGTAGTGGAACTAAGGAGGTGAGATGGATGGCTAGTTCCACTACTACTACTACTACCACCACCTCTACCCACGTGTCACTTCACCTGACTCCTGCCGCTATATATATGCGTTTTCTTAGTTTTCTCTGTATTAGGACTGAAGAAGCCACTTGTGGTGAAACGTTTCCTTTAATAAATGTCCTGAACTGTACATAAGTGTCTTTTTCCACATCTTGTCGGTGTCACCATACCATTTCCATTTCCTCAAAGCTTCTAGTGCCAGCCCTTTGGTAAAGAATGTGAGAAAAACATATAATTTATGAAAAAGTTTGTAGAAAAATACAAAGGTGGTGGTGGTAGAGTGGAAGCAGTTGTGATAGTGATTGATGGTGGTAGAAGGTAGTAGTGATGGTGGTAACAGTTGTAATAGTGGTAGAAGGTCTTAGTGATTGTGGTAGAGGGTTCCTTCTTTAGTGATTCAGCAATTCTACCAACTCCTCCAATGTTGTTGGAGTTATATAGGGCTACAGAAAACACCACCGCCTCAGCTGCTGCTTCACTATTATGGACGGCTTACTCTGGGTGGCCCTTATATACCCAACAACAACACAACACCTCTCGTGACATACATAGTGATTTATTTTATTCATTCTAGAGTATGTTCCATGTTTCTATGTTATTAATATTGTTTATTATGTTATATTAGTTGAATTGTGATAGTTAAATAAGCCATAGAGTTGATATTAGTGTCATATTCTCCAACAATAAACTTGCCATCCCTCCCTCACACAAACAAGTCTCCAATAAGAACATAAGAAATGAGGAACACTGCAGTAGGCCTGTTGGCTCATACTAGGCCGGTCCTTCACAAATCCAACCCACTAACAGAACAAATGCTACCCAAGCAATAAACTCAGGTGCAATTCCGACTCAAATCCAACCCCTCTCACTCATGTATTTATCCAACCTAAATTTGAAACTACTCAATGTTTTAGCTTGGATCACCCTACTAGGCAGACCGTTCCACTCATCAACTACCCCTATTACCAATGTTCATTTATACATTTTATTAGTGCTCTACATTTATTTGGCATTCTTTCTGCATGTAAATCTATATTTATGCTAGGGAAGTGACCCCTGAAGTGACCTAGAGTCCTTATGGAGGGGGATTCCCCTTCCAAACAATAACCTCTCTTCCCTCTCTCCTCCTCCCTGTCTTCCATTCATCCATTTTAAGCCAGCCCGTAATGCTATGCATATAAGTGGCTTTGGCATGCTGCTCTTACCTGTATTTTTTGTACCTCTGTATGTATGCTCAAATTATTAAATGAATAAATAAATAAATAAATCAACAACAGCCTTCAATAAAGGTAACTGTCATGTTGAATGTTCATTATTTTGTGCATGTAAATCTATCTTTTAGGTAAAAAAAAAAATTGTCATTGATACTTCTGGGTGTTTGGAACGAATT